CGCACAGCCCACCATAGAACCTGCACAGCTCACCTGAGAGTCCACACAGCCCACCATAGACCCCGCACAGTCCACCATAGACCCCGCACAGCCCACCATAGACCCTACACAGCCCACCTGAGAGTCCACACAGCCCACCATAGACCCCGCACAGTCCACCATAGACCCCGCACAGCCCACCATAGACCCCGCACAGTCCACCATAGACCCCGCACAGCCCACCATAGACCCCGCACAGTCCACCATAGACCCCGCACAGCCCACCATAGACCCCGCACAGTCCACCATAGACCCCGCACAGCCCACCATAGACCCCGCACAGTCCACCATAGACCCCGCACAGCCCACCATAGACCCCGCACAGTCCACCATAGACCCCGCACAGCCCACCATAGACCCCGCACAGTCCACCATAGACCCCGCACAGCCCACCATAGACCCCGCACAGTCCACCATAGACCCCGCACAGCCCACCATAGACCCCGCACAGTCCACCATAGACCCCGCACAGCCCACCATAGACCCCGCACAGTCCACCATAGACCCCGCACAGCCCACCATAGACCCCGCACAGTCCACCATAGACCCCGCACAGCCCACCATAGACCCCGCACAGTCCACCATAGACCCCGCACAGCCCACCATAGACCCCGCACAGTCCACCATAGACCCCGCACAGCCCACCATAGACCCCGCACAGTCCACCATAGACCCCGCACAGCCCACCATAGACCCCGCACAGTCCACCATAGACCCCGCACAGCCCACCATAGACCCCGCACAGTCCACCATAGACCCCGCACAGCCCACCATAGACCCCGCACAGTCCACCATAGACCCCGCACAGCCCACCATAGACCCCGCACAGTCCACCATAGACCCCGCACAGCCCACCATAGACCCCGCACAGTCCACCATAGACCCCGCACAGCCCACCATAGACCCCGCACAGTCCACCATAGACCCCGCACAGCCCACCATAGACCCCGCACAGTCCACCATAGACCCCGCACAGCCCACCATAGACCCCGCACAGTCCACCATAGACCCCGCACAGCCCACCATAGACCCCGCACAGTCCACCATAGACCCCGCACAGCCCACCATAGACCCCGCACAGTCCACCATAGACCCCGCACAGCCCACCATAGACCCCGCACAGTCCACCATAGACCCCGCACAGCCCACCATAGACCCCGCACAGTCCACCATAGACCCCGCACAGCCCACCATAGACCCCGCACAGTCCACCATAGACCCCGCACAGCCCACCATAGACCCCGCACAGTCCACCATAGACCCCGCACAGCCCACCATAGACCCCGCACAGTCCACCATAGACCCCGCACAGCCCACCATAGACCCCGCACAGTCCACCATAGACCCCGCACAGCCCACCATAGACCCCGCACAGTCCACCATAGACCCCGCACAGCCCACCATAGACCCCGCACAGTCCACCATAGACCCCGCACAGCCCACCATAGACCCCGCACAGTCCACCATAGACCCCGCACAGCCCACCATAGACCCTACACAGCCACCTGCGAGTCCGCACAGCCCACCATAGAACCTGCACAGCTCACCTGAGAGTCCACACAGCCCACCATAGACCCCGCACAGCCCACCTGAGAGTCCACCACAGTCCACCATAGACCCTACACAGCCCACCAGAGAGTCCACGCAGCCCTCCGAAGACCCTACAAAGCCCACCATAGACCACGCACAGCCCTCCGAAGACCCTACAAAGCCCACCATGGAACCTGCACAGCCACCTGAGAGTCTGCACTATTACACTATTACAGTAATTGCCATTATTTTTCCTAGACTTCTACTTTCAGAGCTAGTTATGAAGTTATTACAACCAGTTATAATGGAACGCAGAGACAATTATATATTATGATGAGGAGTGGATACACGTGTAAAGTCTTATACAGATACAACCGGCCCTTTGAGGGCAACCATAATGCTGCTGCAGGGTCATGGGTGATCTACATGCTGGTCTACAGGGTCATGGGTGGCCAAGGCTCATTGATGGGTGGGGGGGAAGTCTGGCCTGTGTAGTCGGATCCAATAGAAGAGATACTGGAGCACAAATTGCTGAAAAAAATTCATGCGGGTAACTTTCTTTATTTTGCCCTGACGTGCCCTTTAAGTGGGTTTTGTGTCCGCATAGACCTGTAATGGAATGACAAACCCGTCTAATGCAAACAAAAGCCTCCAACTCCGACCCTGATGAATATATGACTCTTTCGCTCCATTGATTGGTGTTTTCTTATCTGGATGGAGATCGACTTTCATTTCCGGCCTCATCACCTTCCGTGCTGAGCCCCCAATACGAACGCTCTCAGCGTACGCGCCCCCTCCCCCGTAGTGGTTATCTGGATAGTGTTGTGTTGTCTAACGTTGGAGCTCAGTCTGCTTTTATCGATATTTACAAGAGGGACCCCCATCCTCCTGACACATAGTGACAGCTCCACGTACTCACTGATAACATCCGGAGGACTCCGCATTCCTGGCCCGCTCTCCAGAACAGAGGTTCTCGGCCCTAGGGAGACCAGGGCCTGGTGAATCCTTCCAAAAAGTTTATATTAAAGTTTGGGAATAACAAACATGTCTTTACAATACTCCCAATAATTCATAAACAACATTGCCTTGTGTAAGAACGTTGCTGCCATTGAGGTACAGAATGAGCTGTAGCATTTGATGGTACAAAGTTGGCTGTTGGTGGCCTGAAGGGCCCCCCTATTCCAGCAGGCGATATCTGAGCAGGGATAGTAGATGATGGATGGGGCTCTGACCACCATGTGACCAGTCCAGACTGCTGTGGCCATGGGACCCTGGTGTGCTCTACGCAGACCCCCCTGGGTAGGGCACAGCTCGGACATATCATAGCTAGTAGGCTGGCCTTAGCCTACCTCTTTGAGTCACATGCATGTACTGAACGGTACTTCAGTCCACCTCTATCATGTGACCCTGCTGTGTCTTACCCAGACCCTCCTGGGTACAGCACAGCTCTCACTCACCATGGCTAGCAGGTTGGCCTCAGCCTACATGAATGTACTGAACAGTGCTGCAATCCACCTCTACCAGGACCATGTGGTGCCCTACCCAGACCCTCCTGGGTAGGGCACAGCTCCGACAAGGCTAGTAGGCCGGCCTCAGCCTACCTCTTTGAGTCACATGCATGTACTGAACGGTACTTCAGTCCACCTCTATCATGTGACCCTGCTGTGCTCTACCCAGACTAGGGTTGCCACCTTTTCTTCAAGCGAAACACGAACACTCTAGTGACGCCTAGACATTTTTTTGGAGTTTTGGGTTATTCATAAGTAAATATCACAGTCGAGACTGTACAGTGGGGAGCCAGTAGACCCTTTACTCATTTTGGTTGCCTCTGTCTGCCTGACATCTTGTGTCCGGGTTTCTGCTGCCATGAAACCCGGACACAGCATTCAAAAGCCGAACTGTCCGGGTGAATCCTGGACAGGTGGCAACCCTAACCCAGACCCTCCTGGGTACAGCACAGCTCTGACACACCATGGCTAGCAGGCTGGCCTTAGCCTACATGCATATACTGAACAGTACTACAATCCACATCTGTCGCGACCTCACCCCTGGAACCCCAATAGTGAACAACAACCACTGCAGCCAACCCTAGCCAGCTTGGTCCAGTCCATTGCTCATCCCCCCCTCATATACACACCGGTCTGCTACTTTCCACATGTCCGTCCCCATCCCGTCCATCATAAACGATGGTCATGTCCGTTCTAGTTACATGTGATTGGTGGCCAGTGATCTGGGCTGGAAGTTCAATGTACTCCAGGCTCTGTTTTGCCAGCAAAGACATAGCAAAGCAAAGTAGCAAATATGTGACAAGCTGAGTTCAACTAGAATTCAGGTGCCCCACCAAAAAGTCCAGATACAAGTTTATTCCGAAGACAAACTCTTTGTAAAGTTGACGCGTTTCGGGGCTGTAACGCAACCCTGATCACTGAGGGGTCCCCTGTGTTGAGACTACTGAGGGGTCCCCTGTCTTCAGATCCCCTGTCTTCAGGTCCCCAATGGGTTCCCTGTGTTCAGATCACTGAGGGGTCCCCTGTCTTCCGGTCCCAGAGGGGTCCCCTGTCTTCAGATCACAGAGGGGTCCCCTGTCTTCAGATCACAGAGGGGTCCCCTGTCTTCAGATCACAGAGGGGTCCCCTGTCTTCAGATCCCCCATCCAAACCACTTCCAGAACTTCCGCCCCGCACCACGTTCACTAGAATAACAACAAGCTGCATCCATCAAAGCACCAAGTGTCACACTCTTCCTGTTATTGAAAGTCACCGAGTGTCACCCCTCCCCCCCCCCCGCCCATCTC